GTAGATCATGTGTATTGAGGTTGCTTTTCATTTGCCAATCCCACCGCCCTCGCACTCTCGTGTTTGGCTCCTTCTGTCCACCTCTTCTTTCCCTCTCCGCACCTATATTCGCCACTCTGTGTCAGGGGAGCGTTCCATATAATCTTCTGCCGGATGACGACCAACCGAAAGTGGCCACGGGTTGTAGACGTGAAGGTGTCTGTTCTGTATTACTTTCCCGAGGGAATGATGGCCTTGCGGGAAAAGGGGGGGGGGGGGGGTGGTCCTCTCCCTTCAGCAAACGTAAAGGGAGGGACTGAGATGAGTCGTATCTGGATCACTAGATCACTCGAAGCGACGGCATACTCTACTGAAATTTTGCTCGGGACAAACAAAACGAAGCTGAGCAAAGAGGACTCGGCTGATCGTTGCTAGATCACCTAGTCACTGTCCGTCCGCGGGAGGGCAGCTCCTCGCATAAAACTTACTTCCCGGATATAGCCTCTTCCTCTTCCGCTCTATATCCACTGGCGATGATATCCTCTCGTCGATCCGGCCGCGAGCTGCTTCTGTCCACGGGCGGTAATCGCATGCATACACTGCCCTCCAGCACCCCGGCGCTGTTTACTGTAATCATTGGCCAATCTCTGCTAGTGGAATTGGCCATCTGGCTACGTGAAGACGGTGATCGTACAACGCATCGGGGAGAGGGCGTAGGTGTATTGGACCCTGTCGACTTCCCAAGAAGCAAGTGTCTCGGGTCCTCCTCAATCGGACACAACATCATCCCGAAGGCTCAATCTAGACTGTGGGAGGTCCTGGGTCGTATTGCATCTTGCCTCCCCCTCCTCCTCCCCTCTTGATTGTATGAGCTATCATCGGTTAAGCCCTAACCCCGGCTTACCTCTCTCTCGGTTAGCGGGCCATTGAAGGATGACTTCGCCGTTTCGGCACATTGGGGACACTGTTCTTTTCTCGAAGATACGTGTGCGTGTGTGTGTGTGCGCGTGGTGTCCACTTCGGGGGGATGTTTTGGGTCGTTGCCTGGGCGAACTAGATATATCGACAATGCCGCTGTTTTGTTATCAAGATGGACAAGAGGATTTTTCATATGGCAGAATCTAACAGGATTCTCCGAGTGCTGGATATAGAGGGGGAAGGCGGGTGCTCAAAGCTACCCTCGACGTTGCTCTCGACGCCACCTCAATGTGGGAAGAATGCTCTCTTTTGCGCATACGTATAGATCTCCGTGTGCCGCAATGATCGGCTGCCAACTGTCGCCTAGTCTTGCCGCGTGCGATGGTAAGCTGATAACTACCTGTTGACAGTGCTCTCGACGTAGGGTAACGTTAAGTTCATGTTTCATGTCTGCGCCGGGGATGATGCGCTGGCAATGCTCGGGTGCCGACGGGGACCAGGTGCGGCAAGCGGGGTGCCCGTCCATCACTGGCATGGCACTTCTCGCTGGGAGTTTCATTTGCCATGAGAGCCAAGGGTAGCTTGCGGTTCGCTTAGGTTATCTGTCGCGGGCGGAGGAGGAGTGTTTCGCGTACCTTACTGATCCATTCCCGTTGCCGCGTTGCTACGCTTTGTCACTTGACTTCGTTCCCAAATCGAGTTGATGCCAGATAGATAGCTGGACATAGGCCCGAATACCACACCTGTCGATCTTCAAGGCATTGACAGGCCTTCTCGCCTAGAATTCGCGGAAAGTGATGCTCCTTCGCGTCCTTCGGCTCTCGGGTTTTCTCTTCTCTCATACCGGTGGGTTATTATTGTAATCATTGGCCGTATGCGAGGCACAAAGTCGCGAGAACGGTAGCTATGTCGTCAAAGTGCCATAGGCTTCATTCCAGCGTTGCAATAGACCAGATCCCGAATGATGGGTGGATAGACTTGTCACTGCCGTGTCACGCAGAATAGTTCTCGCGCAGGCATCGCCACATACTTCACCCATCTGGCATCGCGGCGAGCGACCTGACTGCAACCAGAGGATCGCGCACCTAGGTAGGGAACACCAGGCCCAACACCCTCCCCTCCTCGTCTTCCCAACGAAAACACTTTCTCACCTCCCTCGATGCACGGGTTCGGGACGCGAAGCAGGACGTTCCTCGCCATGGCGGAGACTTTCGCTCTCCGCCGATATTGGATAGAGCACGATCACGTTAATCGCCTTCTGGGGGATTGTTACGTTCCCTATTTCGACGAGTTTCGGCGATCTTGCTGCCAACTTCCACGCACGTCTACTCCCCACGCAACGCTAACCATTCGTTTGAGATTGGTCAGTGCCGTCTGAATGGGTATCCTAAACTTCGGTCGGCGATTGTCTCTGGTGGCATTCCATCCGCCCCGTCCCCCCCCCCCCCCCCCTTTCGCCTCTCCCCTGGGCGCCTGAGATGATGAAGTGAAGTTGTCTTCACCGGCACAATTTCGCAAAATCCGGCAATGCGCCGGTCTTGGGTACCTTGCACATCAGGAAAGCTCGGGAGGGATCTTGACCACGTTCTAGAATCCCGGTAGCTTGGCGCCGTGAAATCTTCAACGCCCCCGTCCACCCAATGAGGTAACAGGGAGGCAACTAGTGCTTACGGGCAGGTTAGAGGAGGTGTCTAGGACGGGATGGGTCAGTGGTGCTGGCCTTATCATATCGGTTCCAGGAATAAGGAGTACCAAACCCAAGAGGGCAAATATACAAAACCCTATCAGAGAGGACCTAGCATCCGTTGGGACGGGGCCACGAGTCTCCGGTGGCTCTCACCCTACACGCGCCCGGTCATAATTCGCCGTGGTTCCATTCGTGTCACCGCCGAGTTGGCGGCGTAGGCCGATCGCGCACATCACGAATGGTAGCTCACAGCAGGATGGCCCGCAGGTTGCTACGTCCTTTCGATGGGGGGTTAGCGGCCAGTCGACGAAGAAGCAGCGCTCCCCAGCCGGGGGGCCACGCACACTACAGTCACAGTCGCGGAGTGGGCAGAGTTGCGGAGAGGGAGCCGTTGCGCGTATGCGTATGTCTAAGCGTGTATAGGTAGAGCAGGTAGGCGCGGCGACGGTTGGCAATGTTGTCGATGCCGCCATATCCCGAGAGTATACAGGACCCTATAATATAGGCGGCCCGACTACTCCTACTCGCTCCGAGGCCAGGACATTGCGCGGAATCGAACGATAGTGTCGCCGCATTCGCGCGGCCTTGTCGGACAGCCCGGGCGATAGCTTGCCGATGTCGTGATGAAGCAGAGGCGCTATGGTCTGTCACGTATTCCCGCCGCCGTTACCCGGCCCGTGTGATAATTGATGATTTACACGAAGACTGGGGCTGTGTATGTGTTACGATCGTGGGATACGAGGGGAGAAAAAAAAAAAGGAATTGGAGGCCAATATGGGCCTTGTAGTGGCGGGCTGCGGTGAACCCAGACACCTATGCGGTACATACGTAGATACCTCTGTTTCGCATGTCGTAATGGGTATCTGCTCTTACCTGAGGTGGGCGCCTGAGGTACATAGAAGTAAGTCAGCTATATTAGGAGGTACATTCATGACTAGGAGGTTGAGGTGCAGTTTCGCTCTGGCTTTGTATCAACTTGGATTCCGTCGGCGATAAGGGCCGGGTGGCACGTATACCTAGGTACCTGGGTACCTCTGCGCCCGCGCCTAAAGAAGAGGTGGGTAGGTACCTGATACATGCGTCAGGGTGTGCAGGGAGTACATGCGCTGAGACTTACCGCTGGAGATATCTAGGTCAAATACAATTAATCTTGATCGGGCTATTCAGATCATCATTAAATAGAATCTGCAATATCAATATGCCTACACACGTAACGTATATGTATCAGGTATATATATTTCGCAAGCTTCTGTCGTAGGTACCTCCCAGTATCGAACCCCTGTCGGGTTGCCAACTTAACTTGCTGATGCCGGACTGCCGCGTCAGCAGCTGATCACAGCCGGGCATCGTGTAGGTATATCAACGTCACGTAGGCTAGATAGAATGTGACGGCGGAGCAATCGAGTACGAGCACAGTGCGTTCTCCCCTCTCTCTTCTCGCAAAGGAGCAGCCGCGGAACGGCATTGATAAAAGAGTACCGGAGTCTGATTATACTACCCCAAGCGTGCTGGGGGGACAGGAGGAAAAAGAGATATTACTCGATAGAGAAGAGGGAGCAAGAAGCCGGGGGGGTGGGTGGGATATGGAACCGCCCATGGAACCGCCCCCTACGAAAAACTCTCTCCCATCACTGCCCGCCGGCAGCCGGAGGTAGGTGCCTGTATCTATCTAAGTACCTAGGTACATGGGGAAGGTAGGTACCTAAGGTATAGGAGGGATGGAAACCCGAGGTAGGCAAATACCTGTAGAGAGCGTAACCTCGTGGCCGGCGAACCTCGTGTAGTCAGGTACAGGTATATATGAGTACATGCATACGATGTCGGTAGGTACCTTTGCAGACACGTGCGTGTTGAAGCTTCACGAGTACCTGCCCACCAGTACACATGCAGCCGTGCGCTAGTAGATTAGGTAATCCTTGAGGCAATCTTCAATGTGCCGGGTTTAGATGGGAGCGTCGAGGGCGAACGAAGACGGGTGCGCCGTTATACCCGTGTGCGTATCCCTGCCCGGCACTGGACGCCATCCCGGTCGCATTTCCACTGACTCATCCGTCAAAATTTTTTCGTCTTCCTTTTCTTCTTCTTCTTCACTTGTCTTGAGACATCCCACGATGTTCATCGGTAAGGCGGGTGGCCGTAGATAGACAGGCCTCCCTTCCGCCCTCCTGACGAATCAACGATGCGCGCCAATCAGAACCCTCGTCGGAGGCGTGAGAGGGAGGGAGGCAGGGTACAACTACAGTCGGACAGGCCAAGCCGCCGCATGTGATTCAGCAATTCTCCCCTGCGGCTCTGCCGTATGGCTTGTTCCACTACCGGGGCTCGATATGAAAGGCCTGCCGGTGTGCCTCAACCTCCGAAGTCCCATCTCGAAACGCAATCTTCCCAGCGCAACCACTCACCACCGCCAGATTAGCCCCCCCCGCCGATCCGCGACGCAGCCAGACAAACGCTCGCGGTGACAGGCCGACTGCCAGATGCCCTCGACGATGGCAAACGTCAATCCGCATCCCAGTTATCGCGGTATCGAAGTATGGGAAGCGATGTGCGTACCTCCCTCTCTCTCTCTCTTCCTCCTTCTTCCGTCTGCTTCTTCTCCGCCCGTCTCACCCCAACATCGCATTTCGTGGCATTCTGTAGCATCCGCGATATTTCACCTAGGTATGGCATGACGTGGTAGGCATGCTATGGTGGTGATTAAAGGCATATCTGCTATCTGTGCCACTCAGGGCATTTGTCTTCTCGCATCATCGTGGATCTGTCCCACTCTGCACGACCGTCTTTCCTGCGCCAGGGTAGGTCCGGGCATCACGGTACGAGCTGCGATAAGAGCTACGAGACCTACTAATGCCGTCTGTTCCTATTCCTGCCTTGTTCCTGGTCAGTGCTCCACCCCGAGCAGATGTCGAGTCTCCTATCCATCGCGGTCTGGATCGACCCAACCTGCCAGGGGTCGCGGTCGCGGTTGGCCCTTTTTTTGTCCCTTGGGTCAGGCTTTTTTTTTTCTTCTTCTCTCTGTTTTTTTTTTTTACTGTCCCTCCCCAACCAAGCCTCCTATCCTCCCGCTCCTCGCGATGTATTGCTGCTGGTTCTGCCGCTGCTTCAAGGCTGTAGTGGGGCCAGTCGTGACCAAATGCCAGTAAGAGGAAACGAGAGCGGACAGAGCATGTATGGATGGGATAGAAGAAGAAGACGGGTGTGTGACCCTATCTCGCTAGCCGCTAAACGAGCGGGATGACACCTCGCGGAGGCGAGACATTGTTGGTAGTCGCTAAGAGGAACATTGGTGTTGCCGTTATTCTGATATGTAGCTACTGGTGTTTTTGTCGCGGTCGCCGCTTGTCGTCGCCGTTAGATGGGAGGAGTAACGTGGTGTCCTGGCTATCAACAACCAGCGCAACGCGATGGAAAGAGGCAATTTGACAATTGCACCTCCCCGCCTCTCCCTCTCCCTCTCCCTCTCCCCCCCTCTCTCTATACCATCGCTGAAACCAGGCAACACTCTATTTACATGCAATCTACAACACATCTACGTCCGTGGATACGTCCATCCACCCCATCTGGCCATCTACATCCAACAAGATCGGGCCGTTATCACCACCCTCTGTGTGTGGTGCCTGGCCCACCTGGTTGTGACCCATTTTCTTAAATTTTTTTTTCTTTCCAATCTAGCCTACGTACCTGGCAGGGCCCGTCGTCGTCTTGTGCGCGACCCAGGTAATCTACCTATATCGTACCTTCGTTCTGCCTTCATCCACACCCTCCAATCCACCCTACCTTAGGAGGAGGTAGGTATGCATACTCGCATGTACTCGATGTATGTATAGTACATCAGAGGTAGGTCGGTAAGGTAGGTATATATATCTTATACGTATTCATATATCCTTGCCTGCCTCTACCTACTTGCTTCTGCCATTGGAACTGACCTCCTGTGGTACCTAGCATCCTCCCTGACTGCTAACCCTTCATACCTCTTCAAATCCCAGCATCTTGCGTGCTCTCTCTCAAACGTACACCCCCCTTTTCTCTCCCCCCCCCTCCACCTTATGCTACATATACGTACATGTGAATACGTCTGCCTACATGAGGCATGTTCTTCGTCTGTCTCCTCTATCTAACGTGTTATGTACATAGGTACCCACCGGACACCCGCCGACTGAACCCGTCCCCTTCAGCTCGCCTCCCCCTTTGCACCAGTTGCTGCCGGGCCCCGGAACCTCGTCCTGGAGCTCGCCCAGAGCTCGCCGATCAGTCTGAGCTGACCCATCAAAGTTGGTTAAATTCTGGGCCGCCCTCCTCGCCGTTACCTTCGCCTGCACACTTAAGATTTCTCTCAGTTTGACAGAAAGGATACTTCTCATTCGGTAAATAACATCGGAGTCGTGGTGCTTGCACTGTCTTGGCTGGCCTTCGTTCTTGTCTTCCTTCTCGCCTTCGCTTGTTCGTCGATATATCAGTGCATATACCTGCCTACCTACGCCATACTACCTCGTACACATCATACCGACACACACACCTTGTACCAGGACACAGGATACAGGACCTGCCTGCCCATCCCCCAACCACAGTCGGCCCAGGGCCTAGGTCGACTGCTCGAGGTCCCAGCCCGTCTGTCTCATGTCCACCTGACCTTGCCGATTTGCGAGCTACCATTTCTCATCTGGCCTTCCACCTTCTCCATAAGAAGCCGCAGGGTTTCGTTAGTTCCGCCGGCGGCTGCTGTCCTTGGTGGCTAATTTCGCATTACTTATCTAGGGGCTCCTCTCTTTGTCTCTTTCCTCTTGAGAACCTCTTCCCCTCCTAGTTTTCTTTACTTCTCGCATTCTCTCGTCTCCTATATCTTTATTGCCTGGTGTCTCCGTTCGGCCAAATATATTCATTACAGCCGCTACTACCCGGTCGGCATGGACAACATTCCAGAGACCCCCCCGAACGATGCCAGTGCTGCCTCCACCCCTCCCGCCGAGGAACCCCAGAGCCCGGCGCTGCCTCCTGATATTGCTGCCGGGACGAGGAAAGAGAAAGGTCGTGTACGCTTCAACAGTGTCGCCGGATTTGGACCCCCTCCCTTCCTGGACTTGAGGATCTCGCCGGGCAATGCGTCACCCAACGATGGATCTTATATCCCTTCCAAGCCAAGGCCTTCGGTGCTGCGTGGGAATTCCTATAACTCGGTGACTAGTATCCCCGAGTCGATCAACGACGACCAATTCGCCTCCGAGAAGGCGATGTCGGCCTATGCTGCCCAGGAACGTGCCCAGCAGGTGGCGGCTGCCACCCTGCAATACTCCCAATCTGCCCCCGGATCGACGAGGACATCTGTAGACTCGGAGGCCGAGACAGTGAACAGTGGCGGCGATATCCTTCCGGGTCTTAATAACAACATACCTCTCGACGACTACACCCTGAACCAGGATGCCAACGCCGGAACTCCCGCGGCCGCGCAGAAGGTCATGTCGGACGAGCGGGCGGCGAAAGAGGAGGCATATAACCTCGTCCGATCACACACGCAAAGACAAAACCAGGGGGCGTACCCGACGGCGACGCCCAATACCGCGCTGAGTTCGGGCCAGCTTACGCCGGTCGGGGGACATATCCACGAGCTCTACGTGCCGCGACCAGCGGAATACCGCCCGAGTGTTTTGTCGAACTTGCTGAAGCTGTACAAACCACCCGACGCGTCCTCTCCCAGTTACCCACATAGTCGGAAGTCCGAACAAGGAAGTGAGTTCACCACTCCCGGCTCGTCTGGCGCTACCACGCCAAATCGGCGGAAGTGGTACGAGAAGAACCGCTCGTCGGATACGTTGGCCAATTTGGTGGAAGCATCCGCACGTCTTGCCAATGCTAGCGTCAATGGATCCGCGCCGAAAGGGAAGCGGCCAAAGCCCAGGCGGAGTCCTAGTTCCCGGTTCATGAGCTTCACCCGGTCGCGAGACGAAGAAATCCGCATCACTATGCATATCGCGGAGACGTTAACTCGCCAGAAGTACATCATACAGATGTGCAAGGCGCTCATGCTGTACGGCGCTCCGACGCATCGTCTGGAGGAGTACTTGAGGATGACGGCGAACGTTCTCGAGATCGACGGCCAGTTTCTTTACTTGCCTGGCTGCATGATCATCTCCTTCGACGACCGGTCTACCCATACCACGGAGGTGAAGATCGTTCGCATGACCCAAGGGATCGATCTCGGCAAGCTAAGGGACGTTCACGAGATATACAAATTGGTACTCCACGACAAGATAGATCTTGAGGAAGCCATCGAGTCACTGTCGAGAGTGATGAATATGAAGGACAAGTTTCATCCGTGGTTGAGGGTCCTGGGCTTTGGCTTAGCAAGCGCGGCGGTCGCCCCGTTCGCCTTTGAAGGCCAATTGATCGACCTACCCATGTGCTTCATCTTGGGGTGTCTTGTCGGCACCCTACAGATCATCGTCGCCCCGAGATCGGATCTGTACAACAATGTGTTCGAGATTTCCGCCGCCGTGTTGACGAGCTTCTTGAGTAGGGCCGTCGGAAGTATTGGGGGGGGGACTCTGTTCTGCTTCTCGGCTCTAGCTCAGAGTTCAATCGCCCTTATTCTTCCTGGCTGGTTTGTCTGTAAGTATACGAGTCCGATACCCCCCTCGATTTTACTTCCCGAAGCTGACGGATCTTTTTTTTTTTTTCCCTCCTTCCAGTATGTTCCGCCCTCGAGCTGCAATCTCGGGCCTTGGTACCGGGGTCTATCCGCATGGTATATGCTATAATCTACTCGCTATTCCTAGGTTTCGGTATCACGGTGGGAACAGCACTCTACGGCCTCATGGATAGCCACGCCACCTCTGCGACCACTTGCTCGAATCCCATACCGACGTACTACCGCTTCTTTTTCGTGCCGCTCTTCACCATAAGCCTTGCCTTCGTGAACCAATCAAAGTGGAAGCAGATGCCGGCAATGGTTATCATCGCATTCGCCGGATATATCGTCAACTTTTTCAGCTCCCCCAAGTTCCGCGCTAGCCCACAGATAGCCAATACCCTGGGCGCTTTCACCGTCGGCGTTTTGGCCAACCTATACTCGAGGCTACGACACGGTGTGGCTGCTGCTGCCCTGTTACCTGCCATATTCGTACAGGTTCCCAGCGGTCTAGCAGCAACAGGTAGCCTGCTTAGTGGGTTGAGCACCGCAAACGAGCTCAATAATTCGACCGAAGTCGTGAACGGAACAAGCACAGTACGTTTACAAGCGATTAACCCCCCCGCCCCATGCTTTTAACTCCAATTTTCTTTCTCGCTGCCCCCCTCGAAGTGTCGAATATACAGCTGATAATATGTCAACGTAGGTCACCATCGATAGCGGGCAATCGCTGGATACGATCGTATTCAATGTGGCAGCCTCTATGATCCAGATCGCCATCGGTATCACTGTAGGCCTGTTCCTGAGCTCGTTGATTGTTTACCCACTTGGAAAACGCCGCAGTGGGCTTTGGACCCTCTGAGGTTGTTCATCATTTGGCTCGCCATGGTCGTCGTCACTTCGGAATTTAGGGCGTTGGTGTCACAAAAAAAAGGGGGCCCGGCACAGATGAGCGAGCAGGCAATGCTTTTACTATTCGGGAGGTTTTTTTTCTCTGTCCAAGATAGTTGTCAAGCTGTACGTGATAGAATTAGATGCATGGGGGACTGCATATAGAGAGGTTGCATGTATAGAGGGTTATGCGGAGGAAAGCAGCCTCGCGGCCGGAGGCACCAGCTGGAAACGGTTGCAAGGAATCCCTCCCCCTACCGACACAGCGACGGTCAACCAGTTATGAAATGCCAGCATATGCATCGGCGTCAAGGCTTTCCTGTTACCCCAAAACCGGCACTTTCTTTTCCCTCCGTTTTGCTCTATATGACCACATAGTCGTCTCAGCAGTCCATAGTTACGAGCTCACGAGAAACGACGTTACGAGGCATAGCTGGTGAAGAAGGGGACCAAGAATAGAGGTGATTTCGTCGATATTACGAAAGCCTAACCACTAACTTGAGATTCACACACGAAACATCACGCTCTCTTCCCAATCTCGGGGGTTGGTTTATCCTGACGCTATTGTTTGCCACGCGTCTGCTGTCGTGGCCTGCGTTTTGCATACTACTTTAGCTCGTATCCTGGGGCGCGTTCCCCCTGTAGACTCGACTGGAAGCAGTGTATACACGCGTATACCTGCGCTCACAGTGGTAGGCCGTCTAGGTAGGGTAGGTTGTTTCTACTGTCTTCACCCCATATACGCCCGCCTAGGTTGCCTCAAGGACCCAAACTACCCACTTCAGGGTACCTAGTAATATACCTCAAGCACGTAAGTTTCCGAGACCCAACCCGGCGGTTCTAAACTCCCTTACCCTCAAGGTTTTCGCGTGGCGTAAATTTAGAGGTATGTGTATGGATATCTCTATCTCTCTCCCCTGTCGAGCGAAACACGCCCCAAGTTAGCTAAATGTGTATAAATAGTTACAACACCCACCCTCCCTTCCGTCCTCGCTCCGAGACACTAACTTACGAAAAGTGGGAATTATTACCACCTTTTCCTTTCCCAACTTGATGACGTGCATTATCAAAACCCGGGCCTACCGGGGCAGTTATGTGAACCGGCCCAAGTCTCTTCACACTGGCTCCCCAGCGGCGTATGTCTGATAGAACAGCCTGACGTATCCTTTATCCCATAGCCCCGTAGGCACGCACATGTACGCATCTCTACATGTATGTACATACGTACGTGACCCAGACCCTGTGCACTACGTCGTGACATCACCCGATGGCACATCATCACGGCCGCCGCCCGTAGCCTTGACTCAAAACTCGGCAATACTTACATAACGGCAATGTCAAAGGGCGGATACGGCCAAGGTGACGCCGAGTAAAGCGTAGTTAGGTTGGGTGCGTGAGTGCCGCCCCGGGCGCAGCACAGCTCGCATACCCATGCCTACAACCTCGCTGTGTAGACAACATACTATGTCGTACGTATTTGCCGGCACATTCCCTGCTTATCCATATTCTCGGGGAAGCTAGGGAGGTAGCCAAGCTGAGCTACCCAAGCTCTGTGCGAGCTAGCCTTATACTGTCCTACGCCCTAGGCCCAACTCTCTGCTCGCTCCCACTCTACTACGGTAGGTCCCTGGTATGCCCTGGTGCGCTAGTACCGTAGGCAGCATTATCTTGCTGAACTCCGTAGGGTTAGGCACCTGAGGTAGGGAGTTCGGTAAGGTAGATGGCCCCTAGCTTCGATCGATCCGCGCGTCCCAGATCGTCTTCGTACTAAATCCACTAGTTAACGAGAGGTGCTGCCCTTATCTTGCGTTTGTCCTGATTCTTCTCTCTCTTCTTCCATTCCTCGGAATCCGCAGTAAGCAACCCTGCTAGCATATGCACACACATATGTTAAAGGTGTATATACGTACACTATATATGCACTCTAACTACCTATATATGCACACGTCCACTCATTTTATTTCCGGGACCTCTCGTGTTTCGTTACGCCGCGCCGCCTTATGCAATGCCATGCCGTGGCGATCTGTCCATTACTTACCTACGTACGACCGGGCCATTCCATTAATATATTACCGCATGTGTCACTACCCGCGGGTTTCGTAAACCACACCAGCAGGAGACGATGGCGAAACCCAAATGAACTCAACAAGGGGGGAGGGGGGGGTGGTTAGTATCGCCCAATGGCTGGAAACTAGGTAACTAACTACCTACCAAGGGTCTATATAGATGGAGTATGGGGCGGCAATAAGACATGAGGTGGAGGAGAAGCTCATTCAATCTGTCTTCAACAATAATGCATTCTATTACATATCATCATCTACCGCAGTGCGACGTAAGTGGGGCTAGCCGAAGGGCCTCGAAAGGGGAAATTCGGTTATCAATTTATCGAGACTGATAGACGACATGCCGTCTTCGTTTTGTGATGGGCATATGTGCGTGTCACTTTTTATGGAGGAGCGGAGGGGCTGATTGGGAGAAGCAGTCGAATCCCACAGGGGATAGACGACGGATCTTCTTCTACCAACCGAGTCTCGTGGTCTAGTCTGGCCTGGCCACGTCAAATGGCGGCCACTCACTTTGTCTCGACTCTCGAGTATCCCGCAGAACGCGTAACTGGTGATGGCTGTCTGTATCGGTGATGATTCTCTTTTTGCGAGGTGGGAGTGAAAGGACGAGGTGCGTACCACGTCGTAGAGAGCCTCTGGTCGTAGAGAATGAGAGCCGCCGGGGACGCGACAGTAAACCCTCTCAGCGGCACGCGCAGCCAGCGAATCCACGCAGGTCCGTAGTCTGCCAATAATCATAGATCGTCACGCAAGGGATGAGCCGCCACGGGTCGGGATTTTCGGTACTTGTCTCCTCGTAACCGTACGGAGCCCGGCTGATCACCGCATCTCAACCAAAGAAGAAGAAGAAAAAAAAAACACCCGCGTGGTTTCTAGAGAGGGTGTGCAGATCCCCCTCTCACGTATCTAGATATCTTTCATCGCATTTTCTTTCTTTTGCAAGATCGCCCATGGCAATTTCCGATGGGATAGAGGAAACGGGCGATGATTTGCAACACCAACTACCATCACTACGCTACGACTGCCTATCAGTGCTACCTACCACCACCACCACCACCAAAAACTGCCCGCACCACACACTCTTCCCGTCTCCTGACCACCTACATGAGTAAGTCGATGAAGATCCGGCCCTGAAGCACGCGGGTCGTAGCTTGCGAGCAGGGGACGGGGTGGCGGTCCCGAAGTAGCTGGTTGCTCCGCGGGAGGGGGGAAGGTATGCGGACGAGATAAACTGTCAGACAGTCGAGACAGACGGGTCGGTGCAGAAGAGAACCTCTGTCGATCGCCAGCGGACAGGCCAAGGTTGAAGCGTCCCAGACACCTACATAGGTACGTACAATATGTTGATATGCGGTGTAATCTACGAGGCCTGTGATATGCCGTGACCATGTCTTGTCTGCACATATGTATGTATGTAATATGTGTCTGTATGTGTGTGCATGGATCATGGATGGATGCGTGCTTGTATGTACAGACGGTAATCCTGCCTCGACCCCTGCTCATCCCCTCCCCCTTGTCGCTCGCCAGATCGCTCAGATTTCGCGCCCAACGGATGGATATGGATTGCTAGCGTACCAGTTAGGCAGAGCTCTAGTTATGTAGGTAGGTAGGTATGTCCCCTGCTACTCTCCCTGTTCCCGCGGTCTGATGAACCACATGCCGGCCGACGACGGCCATCCCCTTTATCCCGACCCCTGCCCCTACCGCCAACTCCCCCCCGGTCCCAATCCAGCCGCACGGGTATGCCGCCGCGCGCGTTCCGCCCACGCGCTCCGTGGCGCACGATAAGAAAAGAAGGTGGACGATGGCGTCTTTTTGACGGCTAGTCAGGTCCATCATCCTGCAGGCCCTACGGGGACTCGCCAAACCCACATAACGCAAGCCAGCCAGCTCAGCTCAGCCCCCCCACGCTATCAGTTCGAAAAACAGGAAGAGAAGGAAAATTCAAAGAGATCGCTCGGGAAGCCGAAAGGAGGCAATGCAGAGGAGGGGACGAGCGGGGGGGGTTGAGAGGCCTCACTCATTCATTCGCGGGTCCTACGTTGGCTGGTCCACACACACCGGATCCATCCCGAGCTCTCGCTCACTCTCTAGGAGCCGCAGCGCATCGTATCGTCCTGTTTTTTTTTTCTTCTTCTCTCTCCCTTTCGAAGCAAATCCGGGCGCGACGAGCGAGCACGTGAAAGTCGACAGCAGCTGTGACACGCTACGCAACCCGAGCGACAGGGTCATAGGCTCGTCGTGCGCCGAGCGAAAAGGTGACGCCGCCAAATGAAGCGGTCAAGCTCTCGGTCCCCATCCCCCCCTTCCCTAACCCAGAATAAGACGACGATTGCTCTCAGCGTTGCGTGCGTACAGGCGTGCGTAGTGGCCACTTGGCAAGATGATATTCGGCATTCCAGGTCCTTCTAGAACCTCTTACTCGGCTGCTCTCGGAACGGGCTCGCAGCACGGCGTGATGCCTTGGCGAAAAGCGAAGCGACAAGGAACGAGAGACGCAAAGATTCACGATCACGATTCACGATCGCGATCCCCGTCCTTCTCTGGCCTTGCCCATTATCGGTCCGGCTCTGGTCATTTCAGCCAGGGGGATCGAGAATTTCTCATCTACGAAAGAGAGAGAATATGAAGGAAGAAAAAAAGGATCGCCGTATAATGCCTGCGCATCGCGGTGGGATTCCAATCGATGGCACTTTCGTTTCCCATCAGACCCCGTAGATGCCCCTCTCGCCCCCCCCCCTTCATAGCTCAGATAGGCAAGCCGCCGTCGCCGTCGCACCGGCGCATCCACACACATGGATGTACCTACATGCGTCCGCACACATGCTACGTAGAGACTCGTCTCGATCCTTGGGTCGCATCGCCATTCGGGTATCTACGTCGCGCGGCTTCGAGGATTCCGCAAAGCGCGCGACCAACTAGCCAACGCACATTCTGTTCCGTAGGTTATGTAGGTATGTGCTTGTTAGTGCCGGGCGGACTCGGCAGGCAGGAAAGTCGGGTGAGTAGGATAG